GATAATTAGGTTACACTGCAGCTAAAAAATTGGCGCCTATATAAAAAATATGTTGGCTTTAGGTGAAATCCACTGTACAAATAAAAATTATTTTACTTAATTGAGATTAGTATATAGTCATAAATAAATTAACAATATTACCCAATCCTGAATATGACAATTTGGAATTTTTATTTGATTTGGGTTTGGTTTTAATATTTATTAATATTTAAAACCCAAGTTGAAACCAACACTATTTTTTTTTTGTATATTCCAAACTTTAAGAACAAATCAAGTCTATGAAACAAATATAACATGGTTGATAGTATAGAGAAATGATTGTGAAAATAATTACTCAGCATTACTAGACAATACGTATTCGATTATTTATCTTATAATTTACATTCTAGTTAGTTATGCATAAGTTTGAATTATAATCGGGTTTGGATAATATTATTAAAATAAGCTTTATAATCAAAATAAATATTTAATTAAAAATAAATCTAAAAAAAAGATTCATAAATAATAATTTATATATTAATAAAAAATATCATAATTATATACTGAAACATATTACATAAGTATTATGATATTAAATAATTATTAATTGCATTATATTAATATATAAAAAAAATTGATTATATAAAGACTAACAAAATAAATTCATAGAATATTTTATAAACTTTTACCTTCTGAATTCTTGAATTTTTTATCAATACTATTATAACAATAGAAAAGTATATTATATGTCTTAATAAATCTAATGAAAAAGAAACTCAAGAATCTAATATATTGGATAGTTACTTAATTACTAAACAATCTAATTCAGTTAAAAAACCTAAGTTAGAATGACTTGCTAAATCAAATTTGCACTTCAATTTAGTATGGCAAAATCGATATCCATGGCTTAAAGATCAAATAGTAGATAGACAAGTTCGAATGTTTTGTATCTGGTATCAAAAAATAAGGGCTAAAAATATTTTTGCACAAGGAGGTTGTGAATGGCTTAAAGAGGAGTCTTTAATACGTCATATTAAAATTCGTAAATATATTAATGCTGCTAAAGGTAAAAGTATAGGGCAGCAAAATTTGTTCAATAGCTTTACAATTCAGTATGGAGAAACTAAAGCAAAAGCTTTAGCTAGTATATGCAATATATATTTTTTATCAAAATATTACTTAGCTCTTAATATTTTCTCTGATCTTTGTAATTTAGTAAATTTTACACATTTAAATTACAATGAAATAACTTATCAAAATCTATCTTGCACTCTTGATTTACCTCATCTTTACTTAGAAGAAAACAATGATCTTGATTCTACTAATGAAAAAAATTATGCTACTTATCAAAATCCTGTTGCTGGATATGAAATGTTAGAATTATTAGCATATATAATTGAGAAAGATACTATCGCAGAAATTAATAATTCACCATTTTGGAATATTCTTCTTGATGAATCTAATACTATTACTAATGAAAAAACTCTTGCAATTGTGTCAAAATATATTGCTAATAATCTTCCAGTAATATGATATATTGGAATAATTTCATTAAATGAAACTACGGCTAAAGCAATTTTAACAGATTTAGAATTATTTTGTATTGCCAAAGGTCTTGATTTAACTCGTTTAATCTATTTTGGATCAGATGGTGCAAGTAATATGACTGGCAAGTAATTTATTATTTATATATATATAATCTATATATACATATTAATATTATATAGTATATCTGTATATAATTAATAAAATTTTAAGAAGTACATAATGGATTAGGTGCAAGATTAAAACAAAAAAATCTATTTATTTTAGCTAATCATTGTATTGCTTATCATCTTTATTTGGCTGCAGAAGATACATCAAAAAATTTATAATATTTTTCTGATTATATGGCAGTAGTTAAGGGCATATATGCATATTGGTTAGCATCATATAAATAAAAAATTCTTTACGAATTGTTTAAGATAAAAATATGCATTATGAATTTTTATCTGTTTTAAATATTGTTAATACACGCTAGCTATCATGAACGAATGTTATTAATAATTTATATCAGATATTGGATAATATTAAAGAAGCATTTAATAGAGAATCTACTAATTCTACATTATATTTATATGATGCAATAGATCAGAATTTTTTTTTTATTACATATTTTTTAGCTGATTTATTTTATATTATGCATAAAGTAATTAATATATTTTAATTGAATTACGTTTCACTTAGTAAAATAAAAGCTCAACTATCTATAGCAATTAAAAGTATTACAACAGAGTTTATCAGTTCACCAGACAATCTACTATAACTTGGCATACAACTTCTTAATTATATGACTACAAATCAAATATCAATATCTGAACTTTCACAATTTGTAATACAATATGCAACAAATATAATTACAAGCTTGCGAAATTGATTTCCAGATTCTAATATATATCATACATTAAAAATTATAGATCTACATAAAATTCCAACTGAACGACAGGCTTTAAATAATTTTGGAAATGATGAAATTATATTTTTAGGTAATTATTATGATAAAAAAATTGAAAGCGAGTATAGCATTATAATTTCAAATCTTGATAAAACTAAATTACTTGAAGAATAGAACTTAGCTAAATATTTTATTTTAAATTTTAAACACTTTTATTTTGTTGAGGCTTGGCAACATATTTTAGAAACAACAAATTTTTTTAACCAATTTTCAAATATAACTTGCTTAGCTATTATTGTATTAATAGTTCCTTTATTAAATAGTTATGTTGAACGTATATTTTCTTATCAAAATATGATAAAACTAAATTAAGAAACAAAATGTCAATTCCTACACTTAATAGTCATTTATTAATTGCTCTTAATAGATCTTCGATTGAAGATTTTGATTTAGAGCAAGCATATAAGCATTGGGCCTCAAAAGAATGATTTTATAAATTTTTTTTATAAAATATTTTTATTTGATTAAAGTAGATTATTTTATTTAAATCTAAATCTTTTGCTATATATATATATTTATAAAATAATTTTTTTTTTTTTTAATGTTCAAGGTGAAGCCATGCTTCTAACTTTATTGAAATTTATTTGAACTCTTTTACAGA